CCCTGCACCCTTGTTTTATCTATCTCAAAGCCCTTATCACTATGTGACATTATAGTATACACTTATTTATATGTTTAATATGAATCTTCCATATAATGTTAGTTTCCTGTCTTGTTCAGTACTGTGCATCCAGAGCCTGGAACAGTGCCTGGCTGTTTAATAAATGAATGGATTGGAGCCAACTCAGAATCAGAGGGTTCCTCATTAATCATAGAACTAGCACAAGGAGCACTGGATGAGTTGGGTGTTGGCTGGAATCAGAGTAAGGTCGCTTTGACAAGCAGTCTTGTCCCAAACATCCCATTGGTTAAAACTTTTCTCATACTCCTAAATATTTTTACAAAACAGAATTGCTGGATCTTAGCTCCCAAATCACCTCTTCTAGGAAGTCTTCCCTTTCTGCTCCAGGCAGAGCTTAGTCTGTTCTCCTGCGATCCCACTGTCCCTTCTTCACACCTCCACCAAACCATCTGATCCAACAAAGTGTCATGCAGCTTGGCATGTACCCTCTTCCCCCATGAGAGTGTTTCACCAAGGCCAAGGTTGTGATTTGTTGTCAGCTTATTCCCTGCCTCAATGAGAGTGTGATTCATGGCAGGCTCAGATGAAAGAATGCAATGTGCCTATTAAATCAAGATCCCTTGGCTGGAACATCAGGGTCCAGGGCAGGCAACTTTGCTGCTTCTACTGAAGGTAATGGTATTTAGGAAAAGTGGATGCAATGGAACATTTATTGCAGCGTACTTGGTGCATTTGTGGACAGCATGTCAATAGCCAGGGGGGGCCGCGCAACCAGAAGTCTGGAGCCTAGGCCCTCAATTGCCCCAGCATCCGCAAGGGCCCATTAATCCTTAATATTCAAATTCCGCCCACTAAACCAGCCCCTTCGTGCCGAAGCCACCTCTTTTCACCAAATGATGGCCAATAGCAGCCAATAGGCAGCTGGACAGGGTACCCGCCCCCTTTTCCCTGGTCAGAATGGACACAAACTCCCGCCAATTGGTTGCGTCGCCGCTGAGGCTCCGCCCCACCCTGGCCATCGCACCCAATTGCGGGCGGGCTTGTCGAGAGAGTGCGCCACAAGGGCTCCTGCGCTCTCACCCCCATCTCCAGGCTTTGCCTCCCCCTCCTTCTCGCCCATTCCATGAATTTCTGCCCCCGTTGCGAGCGAGTCGTCCACCATCTCCTTTCCTATCTAGCAGGAACAAGTAGGTGCGAATTATTGTCAACCCACAAAAGGAACTGGATATTGTGCTCCTGGTCCCACAACTCATCCTAAAGAGGCTGTTCTAGTTCCCATCAGGAGCCGTGGGTAGGGGATTGCGTGTCCGGCAGCACCTGAGGCTCTTCTGTGGAAGCGCGCCCCCGGGGTCTTTGGGGATGCTGTGGCCTCAGAATATGAGTGCCCTTCCATCCTCCCCCCTTCGCCGGCGATCTTCCAGTTACATAAGTGGAATGGGACATAGTCTGTAATGGGCTCCCATAGTCTTGGATCGCGAAGATCACCAATACCAGATGGGGCAAGTTCATCTCATCGCTGTGGTTCCTGTCACTTGTCCCTGAAAGTTTATTTTCTTTCTAGTGTGGTTATGACTGAATCACGCAAACTGAAACTCAGGTGACTTTTACGTGGCGTGGCAATGTGTCTGTGGCTTTGCACTGAAGACTTAAGAGGTCATTGTGAAGAGTCTTAAAAGAGTGCTCTTACAGAGGAGACCGTGTATGACATTGCTAAGTATGGACCCGAGAGGGGGCAGCTTGCTCTTGATTATCTCTGTTGCAGTCGCTTCTGTTGTGTGTTCGGTGTGGATTGGTCCCAGCAGAAATGGGCTCCACCACAACATTGATATTCCTGACTCATGGTCAGGCAGATGTGTGCTTCTGGTTATTTTTCCAGGAACAGCAATGGGCTTTGCAGAGCTATTCACATGTTGTGTCTGCTGTGTTCACACGTTGTGTCTGCTGTGTGGGATCACTATCCTAAATAATGAGGTGATAGGATCAAATTAAGGGGGTGGTTGGTGATGGTGGAGCCAAACCGTGTGTGTTGCTAAGTGGCTTAGACTTTTTAGAACTCTCACAAGTTGTAGGCGTAGTAGAAAAACGAAGCATAGTCGGACCTTGGTAGTAAAATTCGCTGTTAATAGGTGAATTTATTACTCTAAAGGGGAAATTTGGGTTTTGTGGCTGGACTTTTCAACTGGATCTCAGTGACTACAGTTAATAACAAGATTGAGCTGATCTCTTGGGTCTTTTGAAATATGCTGGATCCTTATGAAAAATGCAGGGTCTGGATTTTTAGGTCTTCGGGGAATTTCCCTCTGGGATTCAGGGAAATGGGATTTTTTAGGACTTCTACTTAAAATCCTAGTCAGGAAGCCTAGGAAACACTTCCTTTTAAAGGGCACATCAATCTAGTACAAGTACAGTTGATTAAGTAAGTCGTCACAGCACCCATTTGTAGCATGTTAGCTAGGTGGCTGATCACTGAGGTGCATACTGTCCGCGCACACAGACACACAAGCCTCACTTGAAAAAGATTCCAAAGTATGCACTTCTAAACCTGAGATGTGACAGGACAAGGGCTCTGCTTTATTTTGCCATTGTTGGCAATGTGTTTGCCTCCTCAGATGCGCTCCAGCTAGTTGTTTGTTATGTCCCCAGCCCTTTAAACAGCACAGGCAGCATCCAGAATATAGTTTCTCTGCAAAGTTCCTGGTGGCATCTGAAGTCAGCATGTCCTAACAGCTTGACTGCTTTCTTGCTAGTACTGGCTTATCACACTGTCCTATTTCTTGTTGTTACAAATTTGCCTGGAATGCTTTAAACCTAGAGTACTTTGTTGCACCTGACAGAGCATGATGCAGTCAAACCCTACTGTTTTTTTATTGGTGGGGTTAAAATACAATTTTTGCATTCTATTTGCAGTTTCTAACCAGAGTCATTGTTTCCCTGTCTGCCCTGCCTCTGAGTGGCTGAATCTAGTGGGGCGGGGAGGCAAGCTGTGGTGTTTGACAAAACTGGCTAGATGACTGCGGCATTATGTTGCCCCCACCCAAATATTCCTTCCGCCACATAGAGATGGAGTGAGAAGCTCGCTTCCTTAACTTAGAATAAAGAAGAGCAGAGGTAAAATTTTTAGTCCCGGTCTCAAGGCCGGTTTCCACCGCTAATGTACCTGCCTGGGACTGTTTGCATGATAAATGTTGTGTACTGAAACTAGTAATCTTTTATAAAGGTGAATATCAGTGGAAATATTTAAATGGCTAAGAGCAGTTTGCTGGCAGGTTGCCTGAGTATCTGTGAGGAGGGGAGAATCACAGAAGATATTTGACGTTTGTAGTAACTAGTGTTAGAATGGAGGCAAGTTTCAGGGAGTTTCGCAGGACACTTCCTTGTATTCACTGCCCTCTGTTATGGTGACATGAGACCAGCCTCCTACGGCCGACAGGCACAGTCTTTTTTCTTGGGTAGAGCATTATTGCCGCTCCAGTGGAAGGACCTTGTCCTCAGTGCTTCCGTACCGGCCCTGTTCAGGCAAACTGCCATTGTCACCACTGTGCTTCTACCTTGTTTTGGTTACGACAGACGTAAATGGGTTCCTCTTATTTGAGCTCACTCACACAAAGGTTGTGCTTCTCTGCCTTTACCTGCTCTCTTCTGCCTTTCTCTTGCAAGGAACCTTTACCTATTGAAAACTTGACTTTCATGCCATTGCTTAAAAACTTGGTTCCACCACTTTGATGGTAGGTATGGTGTGTAGGGGACCTGACTGGAAATGGGAATTTGGGGGTGGGCAGGGCATCCCCACTCTAAGGGCGAAGTGGCTATTCTGTTAGAGAATAAAGCCTTGGCCTTTATAGCTTTTTCAAGGCCCACTTGTGTTGGGTCTGCTGGCATATGGATGTGTTCTCACTGTAGCTGTTTTGCTGTTACTGCAGAAGTCTGGACTCTCGGGAGCAAGCCTGAGGAAGCGGTCACTTGTCTTCCTTGCCTAAGAGCTGGGGGTGTTATATATGTGGACCTGCAAATCACTGCTTTATTGGGTTTTCACCTAACTGCTCTCATCTGCTGGCTCTTTTATTTCCCCCATAAAATCTTTGGTTAATTAAAGATCTTAAACTTTCAAAGCTGGAAGGAACCTAGTCCAGCTCCCTCCGTGTATAAGTAGAAAAACAATTGTGGCTGTGAGAAATTGTGGCTTTTCCGGGGCCTCCCAGCCAGGATACCAGTTTGATTTTTATTATATAGCTAACTGAGTAATACTGTTACCTCGACTTTGGGGATTTCAAAGCATTCTATGACTCGACTGTTTAAGAGAATTGTAAGGCCTCACTGCACCTCAATAGATAATTTTAGGAACCATCCTGGTAGTTACAGACCAGCCGTAAGTAAAAGACTCGGTTTGTGTTGCCCTTCCTCTGCGTTTGATTACACAGGTAATTGTGTGAATAGTCTCTCTAAGCTGTACACACTAGGCTTTTTTTAGCGTAAAGATGAAAGTGCTACTTTTGGGCCAGCGAGATATCCAAGATTAGCTAATATGGGCCAGTTTAGGTTTTAACAAGGAAATGATGGTTATCTTAATGATAAAAATGTGATGACAAAAGTCCTTTTTTGAACATGTGTTCAAGAGCAAAAGAGAAACTGTCAAACTAATAACTCAGCTTGTTGAACATTGCAATTTACTGATCCGAGAGGCTTTTAAAAAGTGATTGCTCTGAGTCAGACTTGTGTATTTTGGAGGCTGGCTTTGGATCCCCCAGGGCACTTGGTTTCCATTGATGCTGCTTTTTTCTCTTAGGGTGACAGCCCCATTTACATGATGTTACAGCAACTTGTTGCAGCTTCAGCTGCTTGAAAACGAAGGGAGATTTTGCTCTGGGTTTCACGTGTTCTTTTGAGGATGAGATATTAATGTTGCATGTTCTCTTGAACATGCATTCTATCCCTGAGTGTTTCTGTATGACATGGTATAAGAAATACTTACCAGAGATCATCACTAACGATATGCTTTATAGTGTCAAAGTGTCCTTCAGAAGTGACAGGACCTGTGATAGTGTCGATTCTAACGCATGAATCTTTCCTTTATTTTAGCACCGTGTTTTATGTGCCAGTAATTTGCAGTTTATCCTTTGTTTCTAGCTAGGTAAGCTGGGAAATAGCATAGTACTTTGTCTATATGTTTATCTTCAAAATGTCACAAATAGCCCTGGGAAAAAGGTCGGTGCAGCACAATGGGGGCTTTCAACTTACGATTTTCTTTGTTTTAGGCTCCATAAAAATACAGACTCACCAGTTCCTGCTTTGATGTGACATGTGACTCCCCAGAATACATCTTGCTTCTGTAGACCAGCTCCAACAGGATTCCATGGTAGCTGGAATGTTAGGGCTCAGGTAAGTAACCTTCCTTTTTTTTTTTTTAGTATATGTCCTGGTTTGGCCATCTGTTTTTAAAAAAACAATAAAAACAAGGAAAAAAATAAGATATACTACTCTTGGACAGTATAAAAGTACCCCAAAGACAAAAGACATAACTGTGCCAAACTGTGCCATATAATAAAAAAAAGTCACTTCCCTGAGCCCTGAAAGTTCAGTTTGGGTAGGGTTACTTGGTAGCCACAGCGTGATCTGGGGGCGGGCGTCAGATTAGAGCCGGAACTGGTGATCTGCAACTTCAGTTCACCTTGAGGCAGGTCAGCTGAGCTGAGAGCGCTTTGACTGAGCTTTTCACCTGCCGCCGCTGCTGTTGCCCAGTGGTCTTCAGCATGGTGCTTTGTTTGCTTTGGTTTTGGGTAAATGACTTCTGGTCAACATTAGTGAGCAGTGGTAATGTATTTTCAGATACAGGAACTGGTGTATGGTCCCCTGGAAGGATAGCCTCCTGAAAGCTGTCACAGAACAGTGGAGCCTATGGCTCATGGCATGTACTTGCCACACTCCTTCCATGGGAACTAAAGAGAACACTCAGACACATGTCTGGCTCTTGAGACTCTAGAGCAGAATGAATGCTTTTTGAAAAGCTGGGGATCCAAGCTGTTGGAGGTCTGACACTCGGGTGCTCTGTCAGCCACACTTTTGGCTACTTTGGTGCCCTTGTATGGACTTAAGTTTTGTAAAAATGAGTGGTTCCTTAATTTCTCAATTGTCAGGCTCAGTATCTCAAGCTTTTTAAAAATCCGTGGCCACTCCACGTTTGATGTTTTGACACCTGTATTTTAAACATTCCAGGTGGTAAGGCAAAACATTCTGATTGATTTTTTCCATTTCTTTTCTTAAGAAAAAAATGTGAGTTTACACATATGCTACCACTGTGATTCCAGCTGAGACTCCCAAGTAGCACTTTCTTGTGTCTCTAGTGGTTTCTGACATCTCAGTCTAAAGCTGTGTGGACATCTTAGCCTGTTTAGAGACTATGTGAGGGGCAGTGTTTGGGCAGAGGAGAATAGAAGGTGTGGAAGGGAAGGGAAGAGCATCACACTGCTGCCAAGTCCCAAATTTGGTTTTGACTCCTGATCCTATGACTCAAATTGTCATTCCCCTTTGCTGTGGGGTATGCCTTGGGCCCTGCTGACAGGACATTCTTTGTACTCCATGTATTTGTGCTGGTGGGAGTTGTGTGGCTGGCGCTTTGTGCATTGTCTCGGAAATTGTGTGGAATAAATGTAATATGGGCGGTAAATGGGTTTCTTCTGGATTTTATAAAACATGCAGTGATGACTCTACAATTTCTTCTAAAAAGTATAGAAAGGAAGAGATCTTTTAAAAATATCTCTTATTACTTATGAATGGGAAAGAGCGATTTGAGTGAGCATCAAGGAACTTTGAAGGGAATGCTCAAAGGACAGAACCTGTCTTTAGTAGATGAGTGCTTGTATCTTACTAATTTTCTTCTTTTTAAAGAAGCTATAAAAAGAACACGTACTTTTTTATGGATACATACATTTTAAAGTATATCAAGTAAAAAATGAAAGCTTTCTGTTACTCTATGTGCCTGCTACCCAGAGTAACCATGTTAATAGCTTAACGTAGATCCTTCTGAATCTTCTTCTCAGGCTATACAAATATGCACCTTTTGTGTTTTAACAAAATGAGGTTAGTATTATACATATTTAGTATTGTACATATTTATCTCTCTGCCTCATTTTTGTTAAATAGCACTATAGTCTGATACTAACTTTCTGTCATGCATTGTCCCCCTATTGGTTTTCCCAATGGTTCCCTATTAAAGATACTACTGGATTCAACTTACTCATATGTCAGTCTTTTTTTAAAATATATTTTATTGATTTTTTTTACAGAGAGGAATAGAGAGTTAGAAACATCGATAAGAGAGAAACATAAATCAGCTGCCTCCTGCACACTCCCTACTGGGGATGTGCCCGCAACCAAGGTACATGCCCTTGACAGGAATTGAACCTGGGACCCTTGAGTCCACAGGCCGACGCTCTATCCACTGAGCCAAACTGGTCAGGGCTGTCAGTCTTTTTGAAGAACAACTGCTTAGACTTGAACTTGCTGGTCGGTACCACCACATTATCTTCCTAAATGGCTATTCCAGTTCCCATGACAGCCTGAGAAAGTGCCACTTCCCCATACCTTCCCAGGATTGGCTAGCCATCATTTACATTTTTGCTCTTTGGGTTATTAACTGAGGCTGAATCTCAGTAATCATTGGTCATTTGTATTTGGTCTTTGTGAATTGCCTGTTCGTGTTCTGCACTCATTCTTCCATTGAGGTATTTTTAAGTCAGTTTGTAGAAACTCTCAATGTATTAAAGATATTAATTCTCTTCCATCATGCAGATATTTTTTCCTACTTTATCATATATCTTTTGATTCTGCTTGTCTTTTTGATATATAAGATTTCTGTTATGATTTCTCCTTTTACTTTATACTTAGAAATCCTTTCCTATTATTGAACACATCAATATTCATCTATATTTATCTTTCTTCATAAAAAACTTTAGCCCTGGCCAGTGTAACTCTGTTGATTGTGTCTCGTCCCATACACCAAAAGGTTGCCGGTTTGATTCTCAGTCAGGGGACATGTCTGGGTTGCAGGTTTGGTCCCCTGATACCCCCCCCATTTCCCTTCCTCTTTCTCTAGCATCAATAAAAACATTTTCTTGATTTTTAAAAAAGCTTGATATGCTGTATTCACACATGCATATTTGATCTGTACAAAAGGATCTTATAGGTAAGTTGTCCTATGTTTTTTGTATGGTTTTTAAAAATAACAATTTGTATTTAACTTTAGGATAGGATGAGGTATAGAGCCCACTTAGCCAGTTATGTCATAGTTACTTGGTGAACCAGTAATATAGTCTTCACCTTTATCATGTGCTGACTTCAAGTGAACAAAGTATCTCTTACTTTTTTCTTTCTGAATTTTTTTCTTTGTGAGGCTTGGTGGCAAGCCTGTCAGCAGATAATCATTTATTCATTCACCCAACAAATATTTGAGCCCCTGCTTTGAGCCTGGGGTGGTACTGGATCCTGCAAGTGCTGCCTTCTTGACTGGCTGCAGCGCTCATTCTGGAAGATTCAAGAAAATAGTGGATCTTCACAAAAGTAGGGTTTAGATCATCTAGGAGGAAATTCAGAGGCTGTGCTTGTGTGTGTGTGTGTGTGTGTGTGTGTGTGTGTATTATTCTGACATATAAGTTTTAGCTTTAGGGTAGACTGCAACATAAAGCATAGTTTGTTTTATAACTCATGTAATTGCAGGCTGATTTTTGTCTTGAATTATGATGAGGGCTTTTTGCTGTTGAAACAGTTCTATATTCAGCGAGCTTGATTGTTATGATAGAATAAAAGTTACGTACTGATAAAAATGGTAATTTTCTTCTATGATGATTTTGAAGCTTTCCTGTAGAGGCTGATAAATATAAAGACAGCCTTTTGGTGAATATAATCTTGGGAGAACAAGTGTAATTTTTTACAACTTGCATTATTTAAATCTAATAAATACCCACAAAACCGAAATGAAATCCTGATTTGTATTGAAAATATTTTTTATTTAAAAAGGGTATAGCCCTAACTGGTTTGGCTCAGTGGATAGAGCGTCGCCAGATATCCATTTCTGTCCCTGGAGGCAGCCATCATTACCAGTTCTATTTGTGTGTGTTTGTGTGTGTGTGTGTGTGTGTGTGTGTGTGTGTGTTTTAAATTGTGGTATAATACATAATATCAAATTTACCATTTTATACATTTTAAGTGTACAATTTGGTGACCTTAAGTACATTCTTGTTGTGCAGCCATCACCAATATGCATCTCCAGAACCCTTTTCATCTTGCAAAAGTGAAACTGTCCCCATTAAACCATTAGTCCCCATTCTTCCCTCCTCCCCCTGCTCCTGGCAGTCACCCTTATACTTTCTGTCTCTATGAAATTGGATACCTCATATTATTATATATATTATACTAGAGGCCTGGTGCACGAAATTCATGCACGGGTAGGGTCCCTAGGCCTGGCCAGCAGTCAGGGCCAACTGGGGCCTTCCGACTGCCAGCCGGGGCCTTCCTTCGTTCCGCACTGCCCCCTGGTGGTCAGCACATGTCATAGTGAGCGATAGAACTCCTGGTCAAACTCCTGCGGGGACACTGCATATTAGCCTTTTATATATATAGACAGGTATGCGTTTATGTATATATTTTGGGTGGGTGTGTTTACACTATAAATACTGTGCACATTTGCAATTGCTTTTTTTAGTTACTGTATCTTGGAGATTGTTTGGTATCAGTTCCTATACACCCATATCATTCTCTTCTTTTTTTTTTTTAGAAATATATTTTAATAAATAAATAAATAAAACGGGTATATCAATGATGAAGGAGAAGGCTTCTTATAAAAGCCTGGGTTTTTTAAAAATGATTTTTGAATAGTTGAGTATATAGTACAGAATGAAAAAGGTGGTATTAAAGGTTATATGATAAAAGATCTTGCTGCCCTAGCTGGTTTGGCTTAGTGGCTAGAGCGTTGGTCTATGGACTGAAAGGAGAGAAACCAGAAGAGAAAGAAACATTAATGTGAGAGAGATATTGGTTGGTTGCCTCTTGTACTCGGCCTCTAAATTTCCTCCTAGATTATCTAAAACCTACTTTTGTGAAGACCCACTATTTTCTTGAATCTTCCAGAATGAGCACTGCAGAATGAGAACCTGCAACCTGTGACCCTTCAGTGTGTGGTCTGATGCTCCAACCACTGAGCACACTGGCCAGGGCTCGTATCATTCTTTTTAAAAGGGTTGGTTTAGTAGCCCATTATATGGATGCACTGTAATTTAACTAGTTTTCTATTGGTGGATATTTTTGTTTCCAGTGTTTTTAACTTCGTTGATGCTGTGGTGAATAGTCTTATACATATGCCATATTGCTTATAGCAAGTATATGTA